GCTGGGAGATTTAAAAGATCTTGTCTGAGAATGAAGGGAGGGTAAATATGAACAAGGCGGGCAGAGGTGGAGGGAATAAAAATCACCATACTGTGTATGGACAGGGCTCTGCGTGCATGCTACTAAACTGCTAACCTTGCACATTTTTTTCAGCCTTTTGGCTCAGTACCCACAGGGAGGTGAAGGCTGGGTTATTACCGGACGCAATTGCATAACCATGCCACATGTTTTCTACTTCACTTTACTGGAAGTGACTAGCTCTAGGCCCCACTGATTGCCCTTGCTGTCCCTCCTGTCAAGGCAAGGTGTGTCCACACTTATTCAGTGACCCGAGGTCTGTGCCATGGTAAAGCTCACCTCGGAAGTCCTGTGTGCTGAGCGTGGGATGCACAGCTGGCTCTCTCCTCACAGCCCCTGCCTGTTTAGGCAAGCTCTTGTCCCATTCCCTTCCAAGCACTTGCGTCCAGTGCAGAGTATCCCAAAACAGGAGGGAAGTGCAGTGGTATAATGCAGCCAGGGCAGGCTCTGTAGCAGGACACTGTGTTCAAAAGGGTCCTGATAAATAGCATGTTCTTCAGCTACATTACGGCACCATGGCTCATACCCCTTTCCCTGACCTGAAGGGCCAAACATGACCAGCTCTGCCCTGCCTAACAAGGTGCAACAGAACAAAGCAGAGGTGCAGGGGAAAGGGTTAAACATGAGAATATCTGATTTCCTTGCTTCATACTCCATTAGGACTTCTTGTCTTGCTTTCCTGTAGCATCCTCCATCTCAAAAATCTGGACAAACACGTATCAGCTGAATCCCAGCTCTGCTCTGCACTGGGGAAAGACCCGTGTCTTGAGCACCAAATGACATCTGGCTTAAGTGTGGCACAGAGAGAGGCCTGGACTTGCCCAGTGTTACCCAGCAAGTCAGTAATGAGCCAAGCATAAAGCCCTTCCCTCCTACTTCAGCTCAGCCAGCCAGCTGTGGGTCCAAGGTCCCCGCAGTGCAAGGCCAGCTCGCTCCCCAAGCACAGCTGGAGGAGCGAGCCCCCTTACACAGCCACCGCAGCAAGCAGGTGTTGCACTGGGCAAGTATGGCATGGTCCATTCAGCATGTGGCATTGGCACAGCCCTCTGCTGCCTTCTTCTAGCAAAGCCATTCAGAGAGGGGCAGTGATTTGGGTTTCACTTTTTTGTAGCTAAATGAACATCAAATCTAAATGGGAAAAATCTTTTAAATGCCTATGCCATGTAAGTATGGTCTTTTTCTCTACAGGCGCTCTTGCTCATGGCCTTGTGCCATGAAGTTTGGATGGTGTCTGGGGCTGGCTATCCCATGGTACCTCTGGGCACCTGTTCTGTTGTTGCATCACCCTCAGGGAGAGCATTTTTTCCTTCCATCAGTATTTCTCTGTATGCAGCTTGATGCATTGCCTCTGCTCCTGCCACTGTGCACCTCTGAGAAGAGTCTGGCTCCAGCTTCATTCCACCTGCCTTGACCATCAACCTCGGGGCCAGTAGAAGGACCTTCATGAGATGCTTGTACCTCACGTGATAAAAGAAGGAGCCCAGGCAATAACATCACAGCTAAAGCTAAAGCTAAACACAAAGTCTATATGCATTTTCCCCCAACATAAGAAGGACATAGACCTGTTTGAGCGAGTCCAGAGAAAGGCCATGAAGATGATCAGGGGGCTGGAGAACTTCTATAAGGACAGGCTGAGATAGTTGGGGTTGTTCAGCCTGGAGAAGAGAAGGCTCCGGTGAGACCTTATAGCAGCCTTCCAGTACCTGAAGGGGGCCTACAAGAAAGATGGAGAGGGACCTTTTACAAGGGCACATAGTGATAGGACAAGGGGTAATGGCTACAAACCGAAAGGGGAGATTTTTTACTATGAGGGTGGTGAGGCACTGGAACAGGTTGCCCAGAGAAGCTGTGGATGCCCCATCTCTGGAAGTGTTCGAGGCCAGGTTGGATGGGGCTTTGAGCAACCTGGTCTAGTGGAAGGTGTCCCTGCCCATGGCAGGCGGGGTGGAACTAGATGATCTTTAAGGTCCCTTCCAACCCAAACCATTCTATGATTCTATGATTCTATGATTCTATGATTCTATGATTTTATATGTCTTTCTATGTTGTGGAGAATGAAATGCTCCAGAAAATAAAAAAATAGTCATAACGATACATTGAGGTAAAGTAGAAGTGCTCCCCATGGCATCCATTTCTTACTGATGTGGTGTCTTGCTCCATTTCAATACGATAATACCTGGAAAGGAAATGCAATGCATCAGCACATGTAACTTAGCAGTATATCTCTGTAACTTCTCTGAGAATTATCTAGAATTAAGCTAATTTTCCCAAGCATTCTTTGGAACAAAATAAAATTATAGAATAATGTTATAGTTTTAATTTAGCATTGGAAATAAATAAGTTTCAAAAGCCTTCTATGGAACAGCCAAAAGATGTGCTACCTTTAAAAGTAAGAGTAAACATGTAATCATTCATTTTCAAGCAGGATGAACCAAAATTAATTGCTATAATTTAATACAGAAATCCACTCTGCTTAGAGGATTATAAGAAATTAGATTTAGGCATTTTTGCTATATCAACCATTTACTGTGATGTGGCCTAATTTAAATTCTTTGTGATCAACAGTTAGGTACAATGATTCACTTAGGTTTTGTACCAGCTTAATATGGGGACTAGTCACTGAAGATATTAGATACGTACAGATTGTCTCTTGATCTGCCAGGTGTATGAAGTATTATCGTAAGAGGAAATATCTTTCTTCTGGTTAAAATCACGACTGCCAGTTCACTGAAGCCATCACCGCGTATGGCAAAGATGTTGCATGCCTTTTTCATTAGACCAGCTAGCCTTGTTGGAAGAAGTAGCCAGTCTTTCAGACACACAATCTCTCCTTCAGGTCTGAAAAAGCACCCAAAAGCTTTCAAGCTAAGTACAAATTCAGACCACTTGTTCTGAGCTTTGTGAGAGAGGAATCAGCTGAATCACCAACTGCTTGAGCTAAAGGGCGGTTAGTGCTTGTGGAGCAAACTGGGCATTAGGGTGCCAGAGAGCTGGTAAGTGGTTCCTGGGGGACTGAGAAGCAGGTACTTTATACCTTGTGGATGGTAAATTGATTAGTAGAAGGAAGAAGATGATAGTGAATAGGATCTCCATTGAATCGCTGGTTTTGATGGCCCTGTAGATCTATGAATTTTAGTTTTACATGCTTGTCCTCAACACATACTTCGCATATGTCCATTTGGATTTCTTTTTAGTTTCAGTTTACAGCAGCCTGAATGACAACAGGCAACTTGGGATGAGTCATGTTTTCCAGCAAATGCCCAGGACACTATTGCTTTGAAAACTGCATTTTTGCACGAGTTATTTACTGGAGAAGACGAAGATGAGTGAGAGGACAGATAATAAGGGGCATTTCTGGAGAAAGATCTAGATGGTTTTTATTACTTGGTAGTTACACAACCACTTTTTTATCAGTATTTCCATCTCTAACTGATAATCTGCTAAATCTTTTGGTTTGCGTGAGCATGTGTTCATTCCTTCTCCATATGACATTTATATAACACTTCCCCCAACAGACACTGGCTGCCTCCTGACTGTTTTCCTAACTTTTGTGCTTTATAAAAGGTGTTAAACTTTATTCCACAAGAAACTGTGCCTGATTTTTGAACACCATTCTTAAATTTCCTTTCATCCCCAGACATTTCTCCTGGTCCTTTGCACTGCTCTTCCCTGCAGTTTTCTGGCTACTACATCAGAGTCAAGATACACTGTATAACTAACATTCAGTCCTAACATTCACTCTTTTTCAAAGCTTAATCTTCAGGCAAAGAGCAAATAGGGCTGCCTGTGCTGTTGTGATCTAATACACTCCCTTGCACAGAACAGAGAACCTTTGCTATTAATGTGGCTTCACATAAACACATTCAAGGTGGTTTGTGCTTAAGTATTTTCTCTGCTGGGTTATTCATACACAACAAAAATCTTCATAGGGATCATGAATCTCTATAAAGAGTGTTACCAAATCATTTCACTGCACAGGGACTGCAGGGCATGCTGACAGCGCTACAGCTGTGATTTTGCAGTTTTCCGTGGACTGGTGCAAACACCCCACCTAGTTAGGCTTCTCAGGGAGTGCTTGTAGTTTGGACTGAATATTTCTGTTGAAAGACCTGCTGGAATTTAGTAAACTTTTTTTCTTACTACATTCAACTTTTGGATAAGCTGCTACAACCAGAGGTTTGCAGAAGACCAAGTGAAATGAGCAGCACTATTTCTGAGTGACTTTTGTTACAAACATGACTCACAGCAGCACAGATCTGAATCTGGCAAAGGGAAGGAGGAGCCACCTGGAACACCTGGAACATCTGTGCTCCAGGTAACACTGAATGACTAAGATGATCACCATGCTGGGTAGGCAAGGATGTCTCCCAATGGTACTGTGTAATATTTGTGCATGTTCACAGTGGAAACAGAACTTATTTCCATATCTAGACCCATACCCCACCTCATTTTGGGTTATATTCCTCACATTAATAGTCTAACCCATAGTAGCTCTGTCACCAACTGTGTCAGCAAACTACTGCAGTATTCTGTTAACATAATAATATGAGCAATGTTTCTGTCTGTGGGTTTTCTTTTTTTCTTAAAGTAACTATAAACCCGGCTTTTGGCTTCAAAAGATCACAGCACCCATATCAGAGTGCTGTGATTGGATGCTGCCCACAGGGAATATTACCCTGTCTTGAACATAGTTCATTTCCCCGACACTGTGGATTTCTGATGGGTTAAAGAAAGCAGGGTATGAATCATTCAAAGATTTCTAATATAAGCAGTATCCGATAAATACCCTTCCCCCACTTGGAAAGTCTCTGGCCAAATGCTGTCCCTCTGTTCCAGCTCCTCCTTACTGCCTCTCCCCGTTTCCGGATGGTCCCTGGCCCCCAGCCCTTATCTCCTCCAGCCCCTGGGCTGTTTACAGAGAGCAGTTATAAAGAGGCTGACCCAGCAGAGAGTGGAGGGGAATCACAAGGTGCAGGAAAACAGCAGCACTGGACCAGACTGGGTGTCTGCTTGACTCACCACGACCTGCTCTGCACCATGGGGAAGGACAGGCTGCCCAGCAAACCAAACATCTTTCTCCTTCTCCTCTTTTTCCTTCCTGGAAATACCTCTCCCACCACAGAACCGTAAGCTGCACATATGGAGGGGGGGAGGGAGATCTTAGTGTTCCTTTTTTCCTTCAGTTTTCTTCCTTTCTGTCAAACAGCTGTGCCAGTTTCTTCCACTCCTGCCCTGCATCCCACTACTAGCCAAGTCCTGAGCTTCCTGCACAGCTCTACCAGTACTCCCCACTCCCACCCTGCGACCCCCGGGTTGTCCAGCCCTGGGACCCCCCCAATAGCTCTGCCTTCAGGTGCCTGGGGTTTTGTCGGCTTGATGCCAGAATCCATGTACTTACCTTTCCTGTAATATCCTTGTTTCAATCACTGTGTTATTTTTCCCCATTCTCCTGTTGCTTTCAAGCCGGTTTGCTCCCTTTTCTCCTGTTTCTTTCAAGCCAGTTTGTTTCCCTTGGCAGCGTCAGATGTACTTGTTCCCAAAGAGGATCTGTGACCTAGATTCTCTTCCTCCAGCGTGGAGCCTGGCGCTGGCACCCTCCCCTGGGGCATCCACCCCAGGGCTCTGCAGACCAGCAGCATGGCTGCAGTGCCCACTCTGCTGAGGGCCCTGAAGAGAGGGGCAGCCTGGGATGGCATGGGCAGACTGGAGGCTGGCATCCCCACCCCAGCCTCACCTAACAGAGAGGATTGCTCCGGATCCTCTAGTCTGGACGGGAGCAGTCTCCCTCTTCAGACCCTGGCTGTTGTCACATGCTGTGCCCCTTGCTGTGCAGGCAGAAGTGCAGTTCTTACCACCGCGAGTCTCTCGTAATGCTTGCTACAGAGATTTCACGCCCACAAGCACCACAGTAGTGCTAGCAGCTGTAGCAGAAGGTGCAGTGCTACAGCTGCTGCTTACTGTGTGGTCAGAGGTGAACTGGTGGCTGGCTCAGACTAAAGGACCTTTGACTCACACTGTACCATCAACCTTCCATTCATCTGCCCTGTTTGGGTGGTTCTGGGGCAGGTCAGCCAGCCAAGTCTGCTTTGGGGTCAGGCTGAGCTCTCTGGTCCCCCTACAGTAATCTGATGTAATTAAGTAATTACGTAATCTTAATTCATCCCTGCCCAAGATCAGGGGGAAAGGGAATGAATCTGTACTGCTCAGGCCTTTCCTCCTGTGAGCAACATGCTGCTCTTTATCCCTGACCTGAGCCCCATTTTGGGAGGGGAGAAGGAGGAAGAGAAGGGAAGAGAGGTGGGGGAGAGAGGGGTGTAGTTGGGATCCACAGAATGAAGATAGGAGCCCAGTGAACAGTTGAGGAGCAGGGAGGCAGGGGAGTCTGAGCAGTGAATTGCTGGGTAGGTGTGAGGGTAGTGGTTCTGTTCTAAGTGCTGAAGGGTAGATCAGATGCTGTGTATAACACAGAAGAGAAGCCGCCCTTGAACTGAAGACAAAATGAAGCTTCCGACCAAGGCTGGCTTCCTATGCCCAGCACAAGCAGGGAGCAGCTTCTTTGAGCAGCAGCACTTGCTGCTATTTCTCTTTCAAATGTGGCTCGCTGCACAGGAGACACAATTAAGGTTCAGACTATATATTAGAAAAAAACTTATTCACCAAGTTAGTGCAGCACTGGAACAGGTGACCCAGAGAGATGGTGGAAACTCCATCTATGGAGTTCTTTGCAACAGTCCTGCTCCAGGAGAGAAGTTGGGCTTGAGACATCCAGAGATCCCTTGCAGCCAACAATGTTATGATACTGTAAGATACTGACAGCAAGATACTGACAGCAAGATTTTTTTTCTTGCTCTGGATCTGTTCTGGAAGAATTCAATGGGAGGTATCGTTCTCCTATTCTGATACGTAGTTCTGCATGCCAGCTACTTTACAATGCAGTGTACATGCTTGGGAATATACTGCATACAGTCAGAAATGCAAGGTCATGAAGGTGTGGATCTGGACCGATGGAGTTGATGAAATTCACTGCCTTCTTTGGTTGGGTGTTTGTTCCAGGAAGTAGCTGAGAGTCAATACACAGGCTTTAGTCCATCTTAAGCTAGAATATTACCTTCTATATATAGACAAATTCATCATTTTTGCTTCAGCCACTTTCTCTAGGATCTCCTAACCCTCCTTGTTGCCTGCTTCTGCCGGAGTCACTGCCTCTGTTTTCAGAACAGTTCGTTGCATGCAGGGAGGCTGCTGAGGTCTCTTTTGGCAGCCCAGATGTTTTTGCCCTGGAACGTCTACATATGGACTTTGTGACCCAAGTTATTTAAAGCCCTCATAGTACTTTAATTGATCTAGCTCTTTTCACCAACACATCCCAAAACAGCTAAAGGGAGGTTTATAAACAGCGTATTTCATACCCTTGTTTCAAAGGCAGGGAAGCCGGTGTAGGGGGAAGTTCTGCGTGTTGGCCAAGATTTCAGCAGAACAGTGAACAGGAAGAGGAATGAGGCCAAATTCCCCATGAACTAGGTCACGCTGTCCCTTCAGTAGACTGGACATTACAGTCAGATTGTCAATGCCAGTGACAGGGGGCAGGGGCGATGAGATTAGGGGAAGCAGGCACAGGGTGAATCTGTGGTGCAAAGGCTGTGGAGGAAGGGGAGTGCTGGAGCAAGCAGATAGTCACAAGCTGTAAGTCACTCCCTGGGTGGCTGGAGTTCCCTCCTTTCACTGCTTCTGCAGCAGTGTGCACTGACCAGAGTTGCCATCTGGCTCCTTGCCATATTTTATCCCGTTGCCTGGTGGTGAGGGACATGGAGGTACTGCCTGGGTCCCACTGCCTCCACAGTAGCTTTAGGACCTCCCAAAAGCTCAGAGCCCAGGCCATAATGTAGCCCTGGATGGGCCCAGCTATCTCTCTCTCCAGGGCTGGCACCATCTGGCAAGGTGCACATTAGCCTTCCCCAGTGGAGGGCCCATGGAAAAGTGGTATGAGCAGTCCTGACCACAGCTTTCCTCTTATGCATACAGTGGTTAATATACCCTGCAGACTGAATTGCCACCAGAACCTCCTGCTGCTGCATCTGGATAGCTTGAATGTGCACAGGGAAAAAGGAATACCAGGTCCATAAAAATGGTCCAGCATTAGACCAGGGGACTACATTAGCTCTGTATTCTGTCTGTGCTGGTGGCCACTCGTAGGTGCTGAGCGACAGAGTAGAGGAGCAAGGCAGGTACTGTGGAAATGAGTTTGCCATCTGCTATAGCCTTATGGAGCTTCTATTAGAAGTTCAAGGTCTTATTGTGGCAGAGATTACACCTGTGCTGCTATGTTTTCTAGCCATTTCTGGGCAATGAATTTACCCAGGACACTTTTTATAACCTTCATGTCAGGAGCAGCTGATCTGCTTGCTCTTATGAGCCTCACACCAAATCTTATGTAGCTGGTGCCATAGGGCAGATACCATATGCTTGGGAGAGTTACTGGCCCATGGGGAGTGACAGCTTCTTTTAAGGGCCTGCACTTGTCTGGACATGCAGGTAAGGCCCTAATTATCCAACTCAGTGGCACCTGCTGGCTCCTTTTGTTCCTCACCCAGGGAAGGACAGTTGGCTGCTGTCTATCGCCTGATGTAGCCTGGGTGTATGCGCCCTTCTTGGATTGCTTGAGAGCACCAGAAGGCTCAAGAGCCACAAGCTGTCCCTACCAGAATTGAACATTTGGGCTTTACAGCATCTGATAGTATTAAGTTCCTCCATTTAATTTTGTACATTAGTGACAAAGTCTCTGCTTCCTTCTACTTTTTCTAAGCCAGCTGTTTAATATTTTCACCTGGTCTTGTTTAGTACATACATCATCACAGGTGACGAACAAACTGTACTTTCTTTCGTGCACATCATGACTTTATAGCTTTCTGTCATGCCTTTTTCCAGGCTGAAGAGTCCTAATCTATGTCCTCCTATGGAAATCATTCCAGACTTCAGATCATCTCTGCCATCTTTCACTGAATCTTTTCTACTAAATCTGTTTTTTAAATGAGAGCAAACTGGCACGCCATATGTGAGATGTGGAAGTACCTTGCAATTATACAATGGCAAAACGATGTGTTTTTATTTGTCCTCTGTTCCTTTCTGAACACTTTCTACAGTCCATTTGTTACTTATCACTGAATGAGAATTTTCCAATAGTGATCAACAATGCTCATGTCTGAGGAGTAATAGCTCACTTAGTGATACAGCATATACACGATAACGTATATACCTTTGGGGTAATTTTTTCTTCCACTATTGAATATTTTCTTTTTATGAACAGTTCATTTGCCATTTTTGCTATACAGTCCCACCATATGACAAAAGTTTTCCACAAATATGTAAGTCACTTTTAGGTGTTTTCTTACCCTGGACAATTATCAGAAAATTGTACTTCCCAGATCATTTGGAAGTGTATTGAACAACAGGGGTCCCAAGACAAACTCCAGAGATTTTCACTAGTTCCTACCCTTTCCAGGTCAGAATTAATAATCTGATTTATTAGTAAAAAATTAGTAAAATGATCCCTTTTATTGGATGGCAGCTTATTTTAAGGGTCTTTTGTGAGGGACCTTTGTCAAAAGCTCTTTGAAGATGCAAGTACACTTGTGTTGCAATAAACCACTACTCTCTGAAATCCTTTGTGTGCTCATCTTAATAAGGTTCCAAACTGCAAGCACTCACATTTTTGCTCAGCATGAGAAGGATTTGGAAACCTGGATAGGCAAAGACAGGAGCAGCCAGACAAGTGGGTGGTTTTTTCAACCCTAAAACTGCTGAATGCTCAACCTTTTTAGCAAATGCCTTTGAGTCTCAATAGGAGATTGTGGGATATACAAAAATCAGTTAACAGCCTGGAACCTTTCACACCGTCCTTATTCCCTGCTGTGAAGCCAAACAAAACATCCTTTGTAAAGGACTCTCTGTTAGTATAGAAATTGTTCCTTCCACTGCAAGCATTTTCCTGCTTTTCAGCTAATTAGTTAGGCAGTTTAATATGTATAAACCCAAAATAAAATGAATGCTCATGTGTATATGCACTGCAGTTCACAGGGGTAGTAACGGATTAGGCATGCTGATTTCTTAATTTCCTTCCACTTAATACTGTTTCCTTAGAACTGTTTCACATTTCTGATCCTTCTGATTCTTGCTTCCCTCTCTTCCTAGGCAGTATATGGTGCTACTCCCCTTTCTCATACACACCGATTCTCCTGAGAAGGTCTGTGTTCAGCTGACCCACCTGAATGAGTCTGTGACGCTGAGTGCCACACTCGAGTATCAAGGGGAAAACAGGAGCTTGATTGATGATGTGGTGTCGGAGAAGGACGTGTTCACCTGCATCCCTTTCTCTGTGAGTATCTCATCCTTGTGGGCTGATCCCTCGTGTTTACTGATGTGGCATAGTAGATCTAAACAGTCCAGAAATGAGAAATAAGACATGTTGCAATCAGAGACTTCTAAGCTAAGCCAAACAAAAAATGAATTTGATGTGGAAAATTGAGTGTGGTAGCCTTATGAGGAATAATTTTCCACTGTTATCGAATTCCATGTCCCACATGATATTTCTGTGCATGCAGGGCTTAGAGAAATCTTTTGGGATCCTTCATCCTAGAACTGACAGAACATATCCCATGTTTGTTTGATCTATATAAGCCTCAGAGGAAAAATAGCAAAATGGAACGAGAACTGTAGAGACTCGGGAATGGTTAAAGACAGTGAGGTCCATGAGGTCATTTGTCTCCTTCTGGAGCTTATTCGTGATTATTTCATGCAGAAGGCTGGTTGGTGAGTAATGTAAGCAACTGGTCCCACCCCCTGAATAATGAATCTGTGTTGATTTCCATTTTGATAAATCATAGGATGGAACAAGATCAGATTCAGTATTTCTCTAAGGAAAGTGTATAAATGAAGGAAGGGGAAAGGCTTCCAGTATTGGAAGGAGAGAAAGAAGCAGCATGGAGAAAATTCAAGGGAATGGAGAATATCTATCGTTGCAACAATTCCTGAAGGAAAAAGAAGATTTTCTTGAGACAGAGGAGACAAGCCCTCTGAGTTCATATCAGAAAATCATGTTTTTCTCTTGCTTCCAGCACTAAGTCTTTGGTGTCCCTTTAGGGAACTTTCAGACCTAGCTAATACTCCATCCTTCAAAGGCTTAGTGTAATGGGGTGAATCAGTAAAGCAGTTATCCTCTTCATTTTCCTTAGCTTCCAAAATCCAATAGCACATCAGTGGCATTTCTCACTGTGATGGTGAAGGGGGCGACACTGCAGTTCAGGAGCCGCAAGTCAGTGCTGGTCAAGAATTCTGAGAGCTTGGTCTTCGTCCAGACAGACAAACCCATCTACAAGCCCGGACAGACAGGTACGGGGAATTGGGTTAGTGTTGACTCTGATAGCAGAAAATCTTATGGGCTTCATTCCCCAGAGGTCCCATACTTTTATTAAAGTTTTCAGACTTCTTCATGGGGAAGTTACAGCACTCAGTAAATCTTATTTCTATCAGCTGAGATCTAGGGCATGTAGTACCTTCATCATTCCTATTCTCCATCCTGCAGGCACAGCATCTCAGCCAGATGTAGGCAGAGACTCAGATTCATTCTGCTCAACTAGAGGCACAAATCTGGATGACTTCAAAGTATAGTCTCCCTTGGCTCCACCTGAATCAACAAAGCAGGACAGGCACTCCCAAGGGACAATTCAGTTCAGCCAAGACCTGATTATCCTTCTAAATTTATCTGCCTCTCACCATCTGCAAGACAAAGAGCCTGAAGTAATTGCTTCCATAACTTAGAGATCTCAGTTCAGAGCCTGTTGATCCATGGAATGAATCTGAGTTATAAATTATTGAAACACTGACATTTCCTGGTAATGGCTACAAATTTAACAGTGGAATTTCCTTATTTTCTGTTACACCTTTCAGTTCTGTTTCGGATCATCTCTCTGGACAAAGACTTCTACCCACTGAATGAGAAGGTAGAGCCATAATTCTTTGTTGTTAACCAGGAGGCTTAATTCCCAATTAACACCATTGCTGTCATTATCCAGAACCACTGAAGACAGCCTTTAAAGCATATGATCCTTTCTTACTCACAACATCCTTAACCCATTCCATATCCTGTCCTGGGACACAGTCCACTTGTCTCTATTGACTGAGAAACGTAACCCCTTTTTCAAAGGGATATAGGTGTTTAAAACCAGATTTGCAAAGGAATGTATATGGCTAAGCATGCAGGCAGGGATCTCATTACTGAAAAAATGGGTGGAACAAGTTTCCATTGGAAGTGATAGATGTGCAGATGTTTCTGGCAACCACATGGGTAACCACATGCTTAGAGGCAGAGAGAGCAGCAAGAGAAGGACTTGGTTTTAAGGAACTGGTCAGGGGTGTAAGTCCAATCAGTTCCTCATGCAGACAAGTTCTTTGAAAACTCTTACTTCATCACATTTTCATACTGTGGTAAGACAAAAAGTTGGGGCTCTAAAATATTATAGAAGAGATTCCCTTAACCATCAAGAACTAATGCAATAGAGCAAGTATAGAAAAGGAAGAACCCAAAGGACTTCTCAGAAGGTTGTTCTTCTGCCCTTCAGTCCAAATCTGGAAATTGCTTCCATCCATATGTGACTAATATTTCTAACGCTGATTTTCGTTTGTTCTTTCCCCACAGTTTCCATTTGTATATGTTCAGGTGAGTGGATAACTACATGTCTATTATTTCAGCAGAATGTGCAGGCACAGAGGTAGTAGTGTCCAACAGTGGTGTTTTCAGGCTGAGGTGCAAGGGAAAAAACAAAGGCGCATGACCTTTTTCCCTTGTGTAAAGGAAGGCTGACTAGTTGGGCATCAAAATAAGTTCCAACAATGGTTCTTTGAATGGGGAATGTGCTGTAGGAACAAAACAGTTAATCAGTGCAAGCCATGCTGTGAACAGAATTACACTTGCCTAGAGGTCATATCAGAATGCCTTATTCCTCTTCCCAAGCAGAACTAAGATTTTCTGTCTGCCAAGTGTGGTTGAAACCACAGAACTGTGTTAAACAAACCAGCAAGCCTAAAGAAACAAAACTGTGTAAGTAGATGTCCCCTATCTTCCCAAGCATGCCCTTTTTGTCTGTTTTTTTTTAACGGTTGAACTTCAGTGACAGACAAAAGTTAATAGGAAGGATGTTTCTGTCAATGATTCAAGTACTCACTTTTTCAGCTGAGAAACCAAAATTTACAATTATTATCTGGGACATCTGATGGGAAGGACCCAGCAATGGATCCTGAAGTAACGATAGCAGCACAACCAGTGCTGAAATTAGTGTGCACAAATCTTAAGTTGGTTTGCATGATTATGGGTCCTATGTAGTCAGTCCTGTCATTGCTCCTTGCTGCTTGGGGTTGCTATCTCCACTCTGCACTGTCTCTCTCTAGAGCTGGGGGTGTTGTCAAAACAGGGAAGGCATAAGGTGGGCCAGAAACAGGCTATGCTCCTCTTTTCTACCCTCCTGTCAGAGTGCTGTCACTCTCTCTTCCCCTCAGCAACCAACTGCAGAGCTGGTGAGCCACTGACAGTCTGTGAATATTTGGAGAAAGAAGAGTAAGAGAGTGTGTGGTGTGGGATAACAGGTGGATGAGAGCATCTCAGAACTACCTTCTGTTGGGTTGTAGAACAGGTCCCTTCCCTTTCAATGATATGATACTTGACTGAGTACAGCAATTTCATGAAAGGAGCAAGAAGAAATAAATCCTGTCCACTGCCTCCAGAAATCCCGTATGCCATTCCCTAACAAGCTGAATAGTTTCATAATCTTTTTTTTGTGTCAGTACCATAAAAGGCTTCAATTTTAAATCACTAGGAAGGCCATCCTCTGTTTTCAGCTCCAGCCTGTGAGGCATGGTGTTTGTCCATGCTCTTTAAGCCAGCTTTTGCAGGCCTCGCCCTTCATCCCCACCATCACCTCTCTCTTCCTCAATGCTCCTTCTCAGTCCAGCACTGCCCTTTGTTTGGCTTTCACAGATGTCTATGAGGCAGTCTTGTAGAGTGGGAAACTCATCTGGCAGAAAATAGGCTATTTTTTTGGCCAGATCAGATCTGCCAGTGCAGTTTACCACATGCTTGCACAAAATTTGGACTGGCCCAACGGAAAGGTGGCAGGAGTGAAGAAAGGTGACAGCTTAAAGTCAGCAGTGCTAAGGAAATAAATGTTCATCAGTCCACACACCCTTAATGTCACTAATTGATTGTAGTCAGCCACAAAGGCAGAAGTTAGTATGAGCCTATTGTTTCTGAACTATTACCCTGACCTATTGTTTCTGTCATTTAAAAAAAAACTTTCTGAGGAAAACCAAACTGACTTTCAGGCCTTCCCTATAAATACATCACAGAAATGGCAACAAGATCACAAGTCCAGCTGTAAACATTTCCTTGAATTCCTTTTCCAATGAAGCCCAGTGGTGTCCCTCACAATAAGTGGTGAGCTTTTCAGCAGGGTTTGAAACGTGATGATGAAGAGGATTTGGTCAGAGCCATGGGATGTGTTTTACTGACTGTGCCTTCCTTCCAGGGTGCTTCTTGGGAAGAAGGCCCCCTCTTCTGCCCCCTGACCGATGACCTCCAAGTGAAGGATGTCATTCACATCCCCTTTTCCCTAAGCCCTAAGATAAAATCCCAGTGAAGTAAATGCACACAGACACATACCTTGAGTCACATACCTATCTAGAGTAAATAGACTTCTGGTGACAGCCAAGGTACAATGCAAAGAGCAGGCAGAAAATGAAAGACTGTAAACATTAACTACCCTGCTGAGGAGCCTGGAAAGGGTGCATCAAACTATGCAGCACCACTGTGTTGGTTCAATGACTTCTACAAGAACTTTGGGGCTGAGCTGATGAATTTGGAGCACAGCCTATTGACAGTTCATAATAAGCCACACTCAGCTGTAGTAGTAGTGATGAGATTTCAGCTCCAGCATTAGGAGCAAGAGGCAAGAAGGGAGAGCTCTCAGCTGGATGCACATATGTGGGATATACTTTCCTCTGTTCCTGTCCCCACTCCCCCACCCCACCACAAGCTTTGGACTCTTACACATGTATATTTCTCAGTCCCATAGATAGATCAGGTGTCTCATTCCTCAGCAGATTATGCACTGGTACTCAGACAGGCATGGAAAAAAAACTTTTAGCAGGCTGTATAGCAAGTGAAGGAGACTGCAACTTCCCTTCTTTCTCCCTGTGCTCCACTTACTCCTGCTATCCATCTCTTTGTCCTGTTACCTTGCCAGTCTGTCTTTCCCAGCTTCCTGGCCCCATACTTCGTAAACATGCAGGTAGAGCTGAGGGGGAGACAACACAGGTCCTCCATGGTTAAAAAGTTTTCTTGCATTCTAGTTATGCAGATTTGACAGGTAAGGGCTCACAGATCCTCACAGTTATTGAATAATTACATCTAGGCATTTCCCAGCCAGGATGTATATATACTGGGAACTCCACTGCTCTGTCCCTGGGAGCATCCTGTACTGTCTTGTGACCTTGAGTTATCCTCACCTACAGGATCCCCAGAGGAATCGTGTGTACCAATGGCAAGAGGTTGAACTAGAGACCGGCTTTACGCAACTCTCCTTCCCCCTCACCTCAGACCCCATGCAAGGCTCCTACAAAATAGTTGTGCAGAAGAGCTTCTCATCCCATGTGGAGCACCCCTTCAGCGTGGAGGAATATGGTAAGGAGAGGAGGTATGGGCTGCAAGTGGGGCTGACAGCAATGCCTTTTACTGTGACCTCTCGATTTGGGATTTCTTGGGAATGGCATGGAGAATGGAGGGACTGCATACATAGGCAATGGGGTTCGGAGGGGCTGACCAAGAAGGTGCTGAGTATCAGAGGTGGTTGCTCACTTTATGGCATCTCTGCAACCTGCCTGAGCTTGTATTTGCTCGTAGGGCTCTTGGGAGTACAGAGTCTGACAGGTTTCCTGTGGCACCAGTTTTAGCTGACTTTGTTTTAGTCGCTTTTTGGTCCACCAGCTTGTTGCAAGTAGCACTAGATACAGAGTAAGAGATGACAATATTTTGGTAACCCTGTTTTGCTCTCTCATCATCTGCATCAGTTCCATTTCTCCACTTGTAGTCCTCTCTCTTTTTCCTCTTCTTCCTTGTTTCTGCAAGAGCTTAGAAAATATGTTTGGTAGAAAGCTTCAGTTTGTAGAAGAACACTCCACAAATGCTACAAGCAGATGCAAACAGTCTGGTAGTAGAGACTGAGTAAGGACAAATGTGCTGCCCCAGGGAGCACTCTAACCCCCAGCTCTGTAATAAAGCTTCTCAGGTGTTTGTAGATGCAGACTCTGGCTAGGCTGTGTGCATTTGAGGAGGCTGCTTGGCCTATGCTCTGCACTCCCGGGCTCCCCCCAGTTGTACATGAAGCCCAAATGACCCAGTGAGTTGCTCAGAACCTGCTATTTCTGGAACATGCAAGGTGCAGACCCAAAGAAGATTGACACTGGAGTCCATGGGAGCTGTCTTATTTGGTTCAAAGTCAGGCATGGTGGCTAGTATGAACATGGCAAATAATCTGAACACAAAGCAGGTTATAGGCTTTGGCCTGCCATGGTGACAGCTGGGCTGTGCCTCCTCCCACAAAGATCATTCTGAACGCCCCCCAAAATCAAAGATGTGTGTCCCTTTCTTAGCCTCACACTAAAGTAATTTTTCTTTTATTTGTTCTTTAGTCTTATTCCCATGAATCTCCCCTGTTGCTAATTCTCTTACAACCTTTTGAGGAAATGTGCCCTGGGGTTGAAACACTGAGCTTCGCCTCCCATCCTAGGGGAAAATTTATGTCTAAACTGCATAATCCAGTGTTGCTTTCCAGTTCCTGGGTCTGGGTGTGCACCCTCCCTGCTCTTATTTCCTTGCACCGTGAAAAAAACTCAGGTGCACCACCTGGAAGGAGGCCATTACATGCTTCAGTCCAGTCCTGGGCTTGAGGGCTGCAGGATGCAATATGGGAAGAGGGACGTAACTTAATACTCAGAAGAAAAATATGCCTTTTGCTTGCCACCCTTTATATGAGGCATTATTGCTGTCTCATCCAATTAAAAATATAGACCTGAGAGTCCGTGTCTAGATTCCCTAGAACTGTCTAGACATGCAGGACATTTTCACACGCTACATATTAGTGAGCCTAACAGCAGCTTGGGATCTCCAGACCAGTAAGAAACAATCAGTGATTTGATCCGTTTCAACATGGTAAATAACACAGGTGGTGAATGTGATACTCCAAGTCTTAGCTGCAAATTATGTATTATGAAATATGGAACACAACACGCAGGGCCAGTGTGTCCTTCTGAACGGGCATATGTAGGGGATCTACACACCTGTGTGGTGTCAATGGGATCACATGAGCATGTGCTGCAAATGAGGGAGGACAAGGGCTACAACCCTCCTTAAATTCCCTTTAAACCCAAAACAGTGGTGAAGGCTGAGAAAACCTAGGGAAGGGGTAGCAGAGCTGTACTGCAGACCATAGAGAGGTGAACGTTCCTGTTATGATGATCCTGGCTCTATGTTTGGGTTGCTGTGTAGTACACAGCTCTCCATCACTCTTCTCATATCAGACTTTCTCTCTCCCATCTAGTGCTGCCCAAGTACGAGGTCCTGGTGAAGCTGCCCAAGATGATCACCATTAAGGACATGGAGCTTCCAGTGTCTGTCTGCGGTCTGTGAGTCACAGAGCTGGAGTAAATCTCTCTTGCTCATCCTTCACTCCTCCTTTCCACTGAGAACTGAAAGAAGAGCTGGGGAAGGCTTTTCATACTTTTCCCAGACATCTAGTGCAGGCTTGTTCCACCCTATCAAACCTGAGCCTGCTACTTGGCCTGAACAGTCAAAGTGAAGGGTCTTTGCTATGTTCCTTAAAAGATTATGTGAAACCAATCTGCAGCTCTCTCCTCCCAGTTTATTGTACATTTTCTCTTCTGTCTTTACATTTCTTCAGTTAGAGCTTCTCTGCCAGTCTTGAACCCTCAAATACTCAGAGATGTCAGATCAGACATCACTTAAACAGGTGTTGCAAACCCAGCATTCTCATTTTTAACTCATAAATTGGTCCTCCTGAGCCCCTGGTTCCATTTCTACTTCTTCACTGAACCCTCAGGAGTTTGTGATACAAGGATACGCCCTGCTGAAATAATTTTCTGCAGACAATCTTTTACTGCATCCCTGCAGAGGCGTCCCACCTAGAACGGATTCTAGTGGCTGGAGGGAGA